TGTAGCTTTCCAGTTTTGCCAGCACAATCTGTTGAAGAGACGGTTATTTCCCCATTGCATGTCCATGGCTCCTTTATTGTATATTAATTGACCATATATGTTTGGGTTAATGTCTGGAGTCCTGTTCCACTGGTCTGTGGCTCTGTTCTTGTGCCAGTACCAAATTGTCCTGATTACTGTGGCTTTGTAGTAGAGCTTGAAGTTGGGGAGCGAGATCCCCCCCACTTTGTTCTTCCTTCTCAGGATTGCTTTGGCTATTCGGGATCTTAGGTGTTTCCATGTGAATTTTTGAACTATTTGTTCCAGTTCGTTGAAGAATGCTGTTGGTAATTTGATAGGGATTGCATTGAATCTGTAGCTTGCTTTGGGAATCTGTTGTGATTTTAATTGAATTGGCATTTGAAATTATAGGTTACTTTGGGGAGAACTGACGTCTTTACTAGGATTCTTTTCGTTCATGAAAACTATTTATTTAGGCCTTCTTTCGTGTCCTTTAGAAAATACCTTTGAATTTTCTCTGCAGAAGTCTTGTACATCTTTCGTTAGATTTCTTCCTAAGTACCTACCGCTTTTGTTGTCAGTGTTAATGGGATTTTTTTCCTTAAATTTTCTTTAGTTGTTTTGATATGTGGGATATTGATTTTTGTACATTTTTTTCTTCTTTTATCCAGAAGCCTTGCCAAAGTCTGTTCTTAGTTGTAATTGTTTGTAGGTTCTCTTTGATTTTACATATAGAAAACATTATCTCATCTATAAATAGTTTTACTTCCTTTCCCCATTGCAGGTTGAGTATCATGTATGGAGTTCAGACTTTATTCTGTATCAAATTAGAAGCCATTGAAGATTTTGAGAAATGACATTTCAGTATTTATGTCTTAGAAGAAATAGTTTTTTTAGCCAGGTGAGGGTGTGATTGAACATGAAGAAGGGATTGCTTAGAAGTTGCTGTTACTACAGTCACAAGCTATTGCAAGCCTGACCTTAGGGAGTGGCAGAAGGAAGGGCAAAAGGTATTTTAAAATCAGGACCAAAGGGAACAGGTGGATGAGTAGTGTGGGAGGGGGGATTCAGGGAGGCAACCGTGACACTTAGGTTTCTGCTTGTAGAGAATTGCAGTAGGGATCATAGGATGAAGAGGAACTTTGGCAACAAAACACCTCCCTTGTTAACTAGGGCAGGGCCAGATCTTTGGAGCTTATCTGACTCCAGAGAATCATTCTTACGATTTGAATAACATTTCCCTCAGTTTGTTCTTCTAAACTCCCCATATAGATAAGTATCAATCTGATAAAGAACTTCCACTGACCCCGAGGTTGGAGAATGAGCTTGATGTATTAGATGCGGATATCCCTCAGGAAGAAGCTCCATCTGTTCTAGACCAACCTGCAAGCTCCAGGGAAGAATCATTAGCCCCGGCAAACACAAAAGCAGTGGAAAAGAATCCTAGGACTGAGAATGTGCCCTTGAGGAAGAAAGAGGCTCTGGTACCAGCAAGACTACAGCAAGTATGAAATCACTTCTTTCTCTTGGCTTATTTGTGTTAATCCAGCATTGTCCACGGTCACACAGGCTAGTCAACAGTGGAGCCAGGATTTGAGTTCTCAGGTGTTTGAATGTCAGAGCCTTTGAGTCCAACTATCTAAACTAAGATTAGTTTAGCTCCCAAGTCTTTTATTTTGACAAAAGTAGAATAGTTTTAATTTTAGGTTACTTTATGTTACCAGGATGGGGCAATTTCTCATGTCCTAGTTTGGTAAGATCCTAACAGATGTGATACCAAGGTCCTGACTGGTCAGACTATTTTAATTTTCTGCTTCTGATTTCTCAAGTGTAAAATTTGAAGGGATAAAGATTTGGTTCCTGCTGAAGATAAATACTGGTAAATAATAATCACTCAATATTAAAAGGCATGTATATATGAAGTTGGCAAAGCAAGGGATTCCAATTTTATACTCCCCTTAACTACCCCTACCTCCCTGCTTGCCAAGGTCATTGTTTGAGTGTAAATTGCACCCTTCCCCAAATTTCTTCCGCAGGAGTTTCCACTTAGGTCTCTCTGCCCCCTACCCTGTGGACGTGGGTCATCGTCTGGAGGGTCATGGGCTTCTCTTTACTTGCTTCTTCTCCTAGTTCCTTGTGAATGGATGTATGACTACATTAGGGATCCTTTGAGCTTCAGTAAGCCAGAGGTTAAAACCAGCTTCTCTGATATCCATGTGGCTTTATAATTCATAGTTATCTCTTGCAGAGACTCCACAAAGCTGAAAAAAGTAGACCAACCCAGATTCATAGCAAAAGAAGGTTGCAAAGGACAACGGTCTCATCCAGATTGAAAATGAACCAACAGCCTGTGAAAGACAACAGGGCTCCTTGGATACCTCCAAATCCCACCTCCCCACCGGCGTCTCCTAAATGGTATGTAAAAATTCAGAGAACCATCTGGGCATGTGATTTTATTTTTCTTCCACAAATCAAAGGTGACTTATTGCTTAGAGCAAATAAAGCAGCAACCTTAGTTCTCATTACAAAAAACAGCTTCTTTGGGTGAGCAATACATGAGATGTTTTTGCCTAGTAGCTTGTTGGTTCCTTTTTCCTACCTGACTGTGGGTAGAGTGACCTCCCAATCACCCCCCCACCCCTGTGGATGTGGGTCATTGTGTGGAGGGTCTTGGGCTTCCCTTTACTTGCTTCCTCTCCTAGTTACTTGAGACCAGCAACTGTGCCTTTCTTGAGTCTGAATGTTCAGAGCCTAGCATGGTACCTGACACTTAGTAAATCTTATTAGGCATTCAGTAGATCTTTGCTGAGTGAATGAATATTTTAAAATAATTCCAATGCTAGGTCAAGACAGTTATGAATTATAAAAAACCATACAATTCTCATAGACACTGTCCTGACTGCAGGGGACAGTTAGAATAATGCTGACATTACTACCTTGTCACCCTCAGTCCTAACACATGAGGAATGCGGAGCTGCCATGCCACAGAGCTAGAGAGAAGGTATTGCCCTCCAGGGGTGGCAGGTCCAGGAAGATGGAAATAGACTTTGGGAAGTTGGTTTAAGATAGAGGGAACTTATTTATCATGGGACAGTGGTTCTTGAAAGCACAAAATAGTTCTGGGAAGGACCAGGGGATGGATAGTCGATGAGAGGCAGCAGAAAGCAGTAATACGGGGAAGATAAAGGAGTGAGAAGCTCGGTGACTTGAGGGGTGCGCCTTCTGGGAGTCTGGCCAGAGGCAGGGTGAGAAGCCTTGTGGAAGTATTCTGTTTATCCAGCAAGCCTCACTTTCAAGTTGAGGAAACGATATCTATAGAACTTACTGTCTTGCTCATACAGCAGAGCTGGGACTAAAATAAGGTTTTCTGACTTCATAGTGTGCTTTTTTTGGGTTTATTTCTCTGCTCTGAATTCTGAATCTTTATGTGTTAGTGTAGAGATGTGATTTGTCATCTCATAACATACACTGGTTGAAGTTTATTCCACAAACCAAATATACAGGGACTGTCTTCTAGTGTGTGTGTGGGTGGGGTGGGCAGGGGAGGGGAGTGGATAAGGCTTCTAGCCTCATAGTATTAGGTTTTATTAAAGGAGCAAAGTTCCTTTGTAACGTGGAATGTAATTAGTGACACCATGACAGGGTTTTGTTGAAATTCACCCATTATTCTGTAACTGAGAATTGTTTTTTCATATAGTATTTACTTCTGTGAGGTGAAGGAAAACTTCCCTCCCTTGACAGTGAGCCCGAGTCCTGGATGATCTCCCTCTTCTTCGCATTCAGCTTCCAGTTTGGGCCCCATGCTGTAGATAACCGTGAATCTAATGCTGTTGTGTTCTCGGAGCTGGCACCGTAGGGTGAGTGATTGGGTATGGAGTGAATGATCACACAAAAAAGTATACTTTCCATTTGTTGCAGTGCTGCATGGCAAAAGGTGAAATCTAGCTCCAAAGATGCCACAAAAGAACAGTCTTTCCAGCGAGAAGATAATCAAGAGCAAAGCCAGTTCAGAGGTGCTGTAGAGCACGAAGCTGCTAGGTTTGTGCTGTATTTTTCAAATCTTTGATTCAATTAAAGGCCGCTTTCACTAGATTCTAAAGTGAACTCTTTCTCTCTTTCCTGTGTATAAAGTTGGTTATTTAAAATGTAAATCACCAGACTTTTCTGTCTATGCCTACAGCTTAGACAATGACCCATCTTTTAGTCCTTATTTCATTGATTCAAAAATTAAATGACTGTCAGTTGTCTACCAGTTGCTTGTTGTGTATATGGAACAATTTTGAGCTCTATAGAGACTTTTTAAAAGGGCAAAAAAGACAGAATCTGAGCCCCTTCTGATTGACACAGTCAGTAGGGAAGACATGCCCTTTACTGTAATTTAAGCTGGAACATGGCGTGTACCCTAAGAACTAAGGAATTAAGAACCGAGAGAATCTAGAAGGAGGACAGGTACCTTTTGCTGCAGAGATCTAGGCTTCATGAAGGGAGATGGAAAATAAATTAGGACTTGAAGAAAGGCTCTATGTAGGGGCTGATAGGTGAGAATATTCCATGGGAAGAGAGCAGTGAAAACAGGTCACTTTGCATTTGTTTGGCTGAAGTTGTTCTTGTAATTATGGCAAAGCAGAAATGAAAGTGGGCTGCTAAATAATTTGGTAATGTCCACGAATCCTAAACTGCATCAAAGCCCATCCACATACAGCAGAGTTGTTCAGAGTTAGCTTTTCTTTTCTTTTTTTATTAAACTTCACTATGCCTTTATGGCTCTCCTGGGAGTCCACTGCTCTGTCTAAACTTGAAGACACAGCAACACAGCTTTATTTTATAGTCAAACAAGGAATCAGTGATGCTGGTTTTCTTGTGAATATTTGTGGGCAGTTTTTCGTTGCTCTACACACTATTTTTTGCTTTTGCATCTGGATGTCTTTTTTTTTGCTTTTGCATCTGGATGTCTTTTTATATGGAAAATTATATGGAGAGCTTTATAAGTCCAGGGAAGTTGCATTACCTACTGAGCCAGGATTGGTGCTTTGTGGGGGCCCTGATGCCTGGTCTGTTTCTGTGGTAATGACACTGCAGATTGAGGCAGAATTGGTCTGACTCTTGTGTACTGTCCCCTAGACTTGCTTGGCTTGAGGCTGAAACTTCTAAAAGATTGAAGGAACTAGAAGACTTAAAAGCTGAAGAAATGGACAGAATGCAAAAGCAGAGGTAAATGTCTGTTTTGGAGCTGCAGAAGAAGCAGGCCTATTCTACATCATCTAGCTATTTTAGCAACTAATTGAGATTGTGTAGAGGGCTAGTCACACTTAGGTTTATCGGCTGTCTGCTGGCTTAAAAGGCTTTGGAGTTACCTTAGAAGCCTATGGTGCAGCCAAGATTGGACTCACCAGAGTTCTGGCTGCTTTTGAGGAGGGTTGGGTGACTCTTTTGTATTGTCCTCTACGCTTGATTGGCTTGGTGCTGAAACTTCCAGAAGAACAAAGGAATTGAATGAACTCAAAGCTGAGGAAATGGGTAGACTTCAAAAATTGAGGTATGTGTTTGCCTCTGAAGAAGAGTAGTTAGTTCCTGTCTATTCTAATTCATCTAGATAGGTTTACCATCCTCGACCATTAGGCCTAACAGCACTAAATGAATGAGTGAGGGAATGAATGGATAAATACTTGATTGCCTATGCCTGCATTTTATATAGTATTTTTGCTAGGAAATTTATCTTTTTTGTGGAGTTTGGATGCTAACTGAAAAAACATCCACAATTCTGGGTAAGTTCTGTCTGAAAGATGAGAGTCTTACATGTTTGTGCTGCCCCCAGAGGGGCTTTTCTCCTGGCCAGGTAGCGGTTTGGCATGCGTGTCCTGCTCAGAGGCGTGAGGGTGTAGGTACTTTGGCTTCATTTGTTAGCTTGAATGCAGCCCAAGGTTTTCGAATCAGATTGCCTTTTCCATTTGGCCCCTTAGAGTGTTACAACCTACCTATATAGGCATGAGGAAGTTTGTGAGAACACTTAGTTGATGCTGCTGCTGCTGTTGACTCGTTTTTCTAGCTCTGATAAAAATTCACTCTGAGGTCAAATGAACAGAATTCTTATTGAAACGGTTGTGCGTTCTGTCACCGGTCATGCTGGGACATTGATTCCCAGGTTAAAAGGGCTGTGGCCCTATCATTAGAGGGCTAAGAATTTTTTTTGTCTAGTTAAGATTTGAAGTTATACAATCACAGAATCTTAGAATTTGAAGGCTTTTCCCCCAGCTGATGCTTCCAGGCCCCCTGGATTATCTCTACAAAGTAACTGTCCAGCATGTTCCTAGATAGTCTGTGTGGTGGGGTGGTCACCACCTTCTGAGGCAGTCCATTCCTGTCATCTCTTAACTATGAGAGGGTGTAACCTTGTATTGTGCTGGTTTTGTGACTCCTACCCACTTGTCCTGAGGGCCATATAGCAGATGTAATCCTCTAAGCCCCAGTTATCCCCTTCAATGTTTTTTAATTTAAAAAAATTAATACATGTAGAAGAACATGCTAAATACACATGTACAGTGCAAAATATTACAAAATGAACACCTGTGCATACCACCCCAAACCCAGAAAGGGACCATCCCCTGCTCTAAGAACTCCTTGTGTGTATCTTTACTGTTGTGTGTAACAATAACAATATTATACACAACAGTAAATGGTAGTGAACTCCTTTAGTTGTATCTTCTTCTTTCCCCCCACAGCTAACCAGTCCCGATTCCTGTCTTAATCTTTTCATTAGCCTTTTTCATAAATCTTCCACCTTTTTATATCATGTTTGTATCTCTAACAACACATTGTTTAAATTTGAAAACTGAGAAGCCAGTACTAACCTGGCCAAGCAAGGAAAGGGCAGTGCTGCTGGTATAGATGACAAGTCCTGGGGAGAGGAGGCTGGGCAGGTCTGACTCTTAATCTGACATGTACTTCGCGGAGTTTTTAGGTTCCCATTCCAGGATGTCACAGGACAAGGTCAGGAGTGAGTCCTTGCCAGTGTAGGACTTACACATTTGGGGCATGTGGAGGTGAACCAGATACACTGGACTTCTGGAAGAAACTGGTCAGGGGCAGTGGGCTGCCCCTGTAATGTAGAGCTGGGCATGTTTCATTGTGGAGTAGTGTTCCCTTCTATGACTATCCCACAGTCTGTCCGTTTGCTTGTGAATTAACATTTGGGTTGTTTCCCATTTTTAGTATGGGAGTTCCTTTCTAGTTGTTTCATATCCTAGCTAATACTTGGTATTGTCCATCTTTTTAATTTAGCCATTCTGGTAAGGATGTTGTGATATCTTGTTATGGTTTTAATATGCATTTCCTTGAAGTCTAATGATGATGAGTGTCTTTGCCAGTTTACTGTGAAATATCTGTTCACATCTTTTGCCTATTTTTTGTTTGCCACATCTCTGACACCAAATGCAATGGTGTATTTTTTCCCTACATATATGTGTAACAATAACAATATTATACACAACAGTAATGGTAGTGAACTTCATTCGGGTACTTAGACCCAATTTCAGTGGGTGTAAGTATGTAGGAGGGGGTTCTTCCTACACATACTTACACCAAGCAGTGCTCAAACACCAGCAGGATGTCCAAGAACTCAACTCAATTCTGATGCTGTCTGCCCCGAGACAGCACCAGATTCCCCAGGTTAAGGGCTCCATCCTACAAGACTGCCCTCCACCCCCACTACAGAGAGGAAGGTGCAGGGGGAGCTCTTCTCAGGGGTTTTTGTGAAGGCTTCATTACATTGTCCTCATTGACTAAATTATTGGCGGTAGGCTGATTCAGCCTCCAGCCCCTGCCCATGGGTGGGAGGGTCCAAAAGTCTCTTATTAACATAATAAAACACCCGTTTCACCTTTAAGACTCTGCATGTTTTCAGGAACTGTGGATAAAGACCAAATATACCTGGAAAATACATATTTGGTTATATGAATGACCAAATACATATTTCTTTTAACTCATTATATCACAATTTTTTTAAATCATTGATTTTTGAGAGTTTTTTTCTTTTCTTTTTTTTTTCTGGATTTGAGCCCCTTGTCAGATTTATGTGTAGCAAATATTTTCTTTCAGTACTGTGGCTTGCTTGTATATCTTCTTAGTGGTGTCTTTTGATGACTAAATGTTTTTTGATTAAGACCAGGTTATCAGTTTTTTATTTACATTTAGTTTTTCATGTGAACTAAGAAATCATTGCCAATGCTAAGATGTCAGAGATACTCTATGTTTTCTTAAATGTTTTATAGTTTTAGCTTATATTTTTATGTCTGTGATCCATTTTGAAATAATTTCCATGTATGAGATGAGGTACTGATCAAGGTTCATCATTTTCCTTAAGGGTATCTGGCTGTTCTAGCACCACCTGATGAAAGGATTATTGAACTTAAGTTTTCTGTAAGGTCATCTGGGTGGACCATTTGCTAAAGACCCTCACATTGGTGTTTAGGTCTTTCCTTTGGGGTGGGTCAGACTGTTCAGAGAAGAGTCTTCTGATCTTCTGCCCAGAGGGTAAAGATATGAACCCCAGTGTCCTAGGAGCTGAGTTAGGGAGGAGGGCCATGAGCCTCGCCACTCAGCACTCCGCATGCGTAAATCTCCCCCTCTTGCCAGCAGATCCCTGCTGTCTCAGCCATGACTGGCATCCCTCAGTCAGGGGACCTCTGCAGAGAATGAGCAGCCAGACTTCTCTCAGAGCTGGAGAGAGGCACTTGTTCAATTTTCTGAAGTAGGGAAGGGACCCAGGCATCTGACTTCTCAAATGGCATTTGACTCTTGTCTTCCACGTTTAGCCACCCCCTCCCAGCTCACCCCCAGACCTACTTGGTACTGTCTTCCCTGTGCCTGTTTAGATCAGCAGTGCACATTGTGTGAAGTCTGGTTTTTCTGTTACTGGCCTAGACGTCAACTTTCTCAGGTCAGCTAAGTTAGTATCACTTCTGTCTTTCTGTTTTCCAACACCATTTTTTCCCTTGTCTTTGTAGGTTTATGTCTAACTCTGTAACATGGGGTTTGGGGAGGGAATAAGATCAGTTTCATTTGTTCAGTCTTCTATCCTCTTTAATTTTTTTAAAGGCAGCTGTTATCCTTTTAAAAGATACTGAGAGCCTAATGTATTTCTTCAGATGATATGTACACCCTTGTCCTCAGAGTGGGGTCCAGAACCAGCAGCGTTGCATTCCCTGGGAGCTTGTTGGAAATGCAGAATCTCATATTTACTCAGACTAACTGAATCCGAATCTGCATTTTGACAAGATCCCAGGGAACTTGTGTGGCCCTTATAGTTAGAGAAACACTGTGGCTTCACGATCATTGAAGCTCCCTTCACCTGGATGGTAAATAAGTATGCAAAGTAGGATATTTTCTTGCTTTCGATTTTAATTTTTTCATTTCTAAATAGTGTTTCTGCTACACAGTTAGCAGACAAGGTACAGAAGGCAGTTCTGGAAGATGACAAGTCCTGGGGAGAGGAGGCTGGGCAGGTCTGACTCTTAATCTGACATGTACTTCGCGGAGTTTTTAGGTTCCCATTCCAGGATGTCACAGGACAAGGTCAGGAGTGAGTCCTTGCCAGTGTAGGACTTACACATTTGGGGCATGTGGAGGTGAACCAGATACACTGGACTTCTGGAAGAAACTGGTCAGGGGCAGTGGGCTGCCCCTGTAATGTAGAGCTGGGCATGTTTCATTGTGGAGTAGTGTTCCCTTCTATGACTATCCCACAGTCTGTCCGTTTGCTTGTGAATTAACATTTGGGTTGTTTCCCATTTTTAGTATGGGAGTTCCTTTCTAGTTGTTTCATATCCTAGCTAATACTTGGTATTGTCCATCTTTTTAATTTAGCCATTCTGGTAAGGATGTTGTGATATCTTGTTATGGTTTTAATATGCATTTCCTTGAAGTCTAATGATGATGAGTGTCTTTGCCAGTTTACTGTGAAATATCTGTTCACATCTTTTGCCTATTTTTTGTTTGCCACATCTCTGACACCAAATGCAATGGTGTATTTTTTCCCTACATATATGTGTAACAATAACAATATTATACACAACAGTAATGGTAGTGAACTTCATTCGGGTACTTAGACCCAATTTCAGTGGGTGTAAGTATGTAGGAGGGGGTTCTTCCTACACATACTTACACCAAGCAGTGCTCAAACACCAGCAGGATGTCCAAGAACTCAACTCAATTCTGATGCTGTCTGCCCCGAGACAGCACCAGATTCCCCAGGTTAAGGGCTCCATCCTACAAGACTGCCCTCCACCCCCACTACAGAGAGGAAGGTGCAGGGGGAGCTCTTCTCAGGGGTTTTTGTGAAGGCTTCATTACATTGTCCTCATTGACTAAATTATTGGCGGTAGGCTGATTCAGCCTCCAGCCCCTGCCCATGGGTGGGAGGGTCCAAAAGTCTCTTATTAACATAATAAAACACCCGTTTCACCTTTAAGACTCTGCATGTTTTCAGGAACTGTGGATAAAGACCAAATATACCTGGAAAATACATATTTGGTTATATGAATGACCAAATACATATTTCTTTTAACTCATTATATCACAATTTTTTTAAATCATTGATTTTTGAGAGTTTTTTTCTTTTCTTTTTTTTTTCTGGATTTGAGCCCCTTGTCAGATTTATGTGTAGCAAATATTTTCTTTCAGTACTGTGGCTTGCTTGTATATCTTCTTAGTGGTGTCTTTTGATGACTAAATGTTTTTTGATTAAGACCAGGTTATCAGTTTTTTATTTACATTTAGTTTTTCATGTGAACTAAGAAATCATTGCCAATGCTAAGATGTCAGAGATACTCTATGTTTTCTTAAATGTTTTATAGTTTTAGCTTATATTTTTATGTCTGTGATCCATTTTGAAATAATTTCCATGTATGAGATGAGGTACTGATCAAGGTTCATCATTTTCCTTAAGGGTATCTGGCTGTTCTAGCACCACCTGATGAAAGGATTATTGAACTTAAGTTTTCTGTAAGGTCATCTGGGTGGACCATTTGCTAAAGACCCTCACATTGGTGTTTAGGTCTTTCCTTTGGGGTGGGTCAGACTGTTCAGAGAAGAGTCTTCTGATCTTCTGCCCAGAGGGTAAAGATATGAACCCCAGTGTCCTAGGAGCTGAGTTAGGGAGGAGGGCCATGAGCCTCGCCACTCAGCACTCCGCATGCGTAAATCTCCCCCTCTTGCCAGCAGATCCCTGCTGTCTCAGCCATGACTGGCATCCCTCAGTCAGGGGACCTCTGCAGAGAATGAGCAGCCAGACTTCTCTCAGAGCTGGAGAGAGGCACTTGTTCAATTTTCTGAAGTAGGGAAGGGACCCAGGCATCTGACTTCTCAAATGGCATTTGACTCTTGTCTTCCACGTTTAGCCACCCCCTCCCAGCTCACCCCCAGACCTACTTGGTACTGTCTTCCCTGTGCCTGTTTAGATCAGCAGTGCACATTGTGTGAAGTCTGGTTTTTCTGTTACTGGCCTAGACGTCAACTTTCTCAGGTCAGCTAAGTTAGTATCACTTCTGTCTTTCTGTTTTCCAACACCATTTTTTCCCTTGTCTTTGTAGGTTTATGTCTAACTCTGTAACATGGGGTTTGGGGAGGGAATAAGATCAGTTTCATTTGTTCAGTCTTCTATCCTCTTTAATTTTTTTAAAGGCAGCTGTTATCCTTTTAAAAGATACTGAGAGCCTAATGTATTTCTTCAGATGATATGTACACCCTTGTCCTCAGAGTGGGGTCCAGAACCAGCAGCGTTGCATTCCCTGGGAGCTTGTTGGAAATGCAGAATCTCATATTTACTCAGACTAACTGAATCCGAATCTGCATTTTGACAAGATCCCAGGGAACTTGTGTGGCCCTTATAGTTAGAGAAACACTGTGGCTTCACGATCATTGAAGCTCCCTTCACCTGGATGGTAAATAAGTATGCAAAGTAGGATATTTTCTTGCTTTCGATTTTAATTTTTTCATTTCTAAATAGTGTTTCTGCTACACAGTTAGCAGACAAGGTACAGAAGGCAGTTCTGGAGCATTTGGAGCCTCTCCTGGCCAAGGCCCAGGTAATGTAGTTCATCGCATTTGCTTGTCTTTTGGAAGTGCTAGAATAAGAAGAGCCACTACGAAGGTTGCACTGACCCTTTGTAGGGCTGCCTGCCTGCCTGGCAGCCGGAGACTCAGTGTGGTCTGTGCTGCACAGTGTCTATGTAGTGCTGCTGGGGCCCCTTTTGGGACCACCGCACACTGTTGATGCGTCTTCCATTGTGAGTAAGGGATAAAGACCAGGGGAGAGAGAGAAAATCCCACTTTGAGAAAGGGGAGGTTTTAGTTTGGGGAATGAGTTTCAGTCACAATTTCCATTCTTAATCAAATAGATCTATTGGTGATATTAGTGTTCACTTAACTGTTTCCACTCTAATCCTGTGCTTTTACCTCAGTGGTCTGGAATGATTGGCTCTATTTTTCCCAAGGCATGCAGCATCACAAGCAGGTGCCATCCTCCTTTATGCAGGAAGCTGAATGCTATCACCTGACCCTCTAGATTCACCCTGTAAAAAAAAAAAGTCTTTTTTGTATGACTAGATGCAGCCACACAAGAATATTATAATCTTAAATGGAATGAATGACATTTTGGGTCCCTGGAGTGGTCACTGGACTTCTGTATCTCTACTGTAAGAAATTGTAAATTATTTTTAGAGTCTACAGAAATCTCAGGAATATAGAATTGGGAGGGCTATTAGAGACAAATTGTCCAGTCTCCTCATTTTATCAATGAGGAACCTGTGCAACAGAGAAGTTGAGTCATTGGATAAAAACACACAGGTGCTCTGACAATGTTTACAGAGTTGAAAGACGAAACAGGGCAGAAAGCCAAGATCACCACATGGCATTTATTTTCATGAAGATGAAGTGCTTTGAATTGCTGCAAAGTGCCTAATATAGCTAAAGCTGTGAAGAGTTGCACCCGAAAGTTATTCTGGTAGCAGAATTCATTTGTCCTAATATGGGTTGTAAATGTTTACAATTTATAAATGTACTTGTCTGTTTTAATAGAGAGTCAATTCTTCTCTGGAAGCAGATACTCGTTTGAAGGATCAGCCATCAGTAAACACAGCAACAGCCCAACCTACAGAGGAGGTATGTGTTGTGTGGTGTTGGTGTTCTGGGTTGGCACTGGTACTATTCCGTGATAATGTCCTAAGTTGTAAGGAACATGATACACAGATTATTTTTAAGCACTAGATGATCCTACTCAAGAATGGTGGAATTATTTTTCATATTTGACATGTTAATTCTTACAGTGTATATTTAGCATTATGACTTAGATCAGCCCTGCAAACAGCTCACAGAACTCTCTAGAGCCCCAGGTTTTTGTCAGTGGCTCTTTTCCTCACCTGATGACAGAATGTGGGTGCACTGCATGACCCTGAGTGTTGAGCCTGCAGCAGAAGAATGGCTGTCCTCATTTCCTTTCATTCAGCCTAGTTTGGCTCATTACTGGCCTGATTTCCCTTATACTTAGGGCCTAATGTTTATTGACAGGGTAGCATTTTGAGTGCCTAATAATGACCAGTGTCTGGCCTAGCAGAGAAAAGGTGGCTCAGGAAAAAATGATAATATTTGAGAAAAATAAAAACATATGTTATATTAGTCCACCCTTGTGCTCCTCCTCTGGAGGACTTAGGTTTAGCATTTGTGGGAATGTTCCTACCCTGTCTAGGCCTAGGACTATGGAGTGGAAGGTACAGATTACATCCATTGAATCTCTGTGGAGGTTTGGAAAGAAGTTAAAGCCCTCAGAGCAAGGAAAGGGCAGAGCAAGTGTAAAGCTTTGAGTTTGAAGAAAGTTTGGAATGAAGCTCCACCAGCCCAGTGACCTTAGCAATAGGAAGAAAATTGATTTTGAGAATGTATCCCTGTTCTAATTATTATGCAACATGTTAGCTGCAGCAGATTTTCATAATCTTTGGAATTGTAATTTTATTGTACCTGTATGTTGCGACAAAATCTCACGTGAGCTGAAGCTTCAAAGGCTGGAGGCTGAAGTCGGGTGTGCTGTGGCTTGGTGTTCAGTGCAGCATAGCCACCAAATGTTGCTTTTTTCCCTAGCAGAATTATGAGGTTAAAACCTAATCTAGGGAGGCAGCTCCATATGGCATTTTAATTTGAAAGAAAAATGAAGTGATTATAAATGCTGTCAGTGAAGTTTTCAGACATATTTGAATATTACTAGAAATGATCAGCCTTATATATAAGAATTATTTCATATAAGAATTATTTCTGTAGGCACTAAATGGTCATTGATGCAATTTATTAAAAAAGAAAAGTAACTCTATCCACTATTTCATATTCTGGGCTGCTGTTAAAACATCAGCATTATTACAAAGAATTTCCCAGGCAGCACCATCAAGAGTCAGTGTTTATAAATAACTGAATAAAAACAAACAAGAACTCAGTGAAATTGACACATGGAGTAAACAGAATTACTTGGCTATGTTAACTCATAAAAGATTTGTGGGACCTTAAACACAAATTCTCAGAACTGTCACCTCTAAAACGGAGAAGACATTTGCTGCGCGTAACAAGTAGAATACCGCTCTCAATAGATTTACTTACAGACAAGATGATTCTGTTAGCGGGAGAAAGCTCTTGGAAGGGCACCATTGTACTATACTTGTCTGTTGCTGCCGCTGTTGCCATTAACTGAAGTTGCGCATGAAATACTTACATTTTTCAAAACTGTATGAATTTTTTTTTAAGTTACATATGTCCATGACTAAATAGTCAAACAATTCAGGAAAATTATAATACAAATAGTGAAACCTCTCCACCATATGCTTTTCTGTGCTGCTCTTTATATTTTGGTGCTCTCTCTGTCAGCATGTTGAGACCTTCCTTATCTCTTTAAATAGCACATAATTTTCTTGATATTCCATTCCTTATAGATGAAAAATACTATACATACAAATACCCACACACAAGTTAATTAATTAGACCTGTATTGTTGGTTTAGTTCCTAGATATTTTTGTAATTTTATTGTATTAGTTATTCAACTGATGTCTATTTCTTTAACTTTGACTAAAGTTGGGCTTTTCTTCATATCTTTATCGGCCACTAATGTATTTTCTTCTCCGAACTGTTAAAAGGTTTTGTAAATTGCTATGGCAGTGACCATTCACTGTGTGTCTCTTACTTCCTGCCAGCCACTGTGTAGGTGTCCCAACGTGGCAAGCGCTCTTGTGATCCTTGCAACTCTGAAATAGAAGGTTATTATTTCTGAATTACAAATAAGAGGATTGAGGCCCAGAAAGGTTAAGGAAACTTACCCACAGTTGCAGGCATATCAGTGGACAGAACCAGGATTTGGTGTCCTAGAAATGTCTCATTCCAGAACCTGATAGGGTCATTTCTCCAGACATTCTTTTCAAAAGTCTGTTTCAGAACAGATTATAGACATATATTAGAAACAAAAGAAAGACAGTACATGTAAAAATGCTTTATAAACTGCCAAGTGCTTTGCAAATATAAGTCAAGAAAGGCTGGTAAAGCTCTCCTGGGTTGTAGGTAGAAAGTCTCAAGTAAAGACCAAAAATCATGAACTTTGTGTTGTCATGAGCAGATGTTTTTACAAGAGCATAGAACCAAAGAGAATAGATATGTCTTCTGGAATATGTGAGATGTGGAATATTGGACATTCTGAGGACAGCACAAGGAAGACATTTGCTTTACCAATTGGCAAAATAGATAACACGGGCAGTAATGGAATTATTTGGTTAATGCTACCATTTAAATGACTGTAGTAGAAATTGTACTGTATTAAACTACTTTTGATGTTTACTGACTTAGGAGAGGTTTGATTGAGCATGGAAACACCACCAGTTGGATTGCTACATGGTTGGTTTATTAAAATCAACTTTAACCTTCCAGTCCTTCTGTCCTCTTTCCATTGCCTTTTCATCCTCCTCCATTGTTTTGTAGGCTGTAGATGTTCACTGTGGACCCAACAGCATTGGTCAGCTGAATGATTCTTTGGAAGACACCCCTCACGAACTCTGGCCTATGATTCACTCTAAGATCTTGGAGTCTGAAGCCTTAGCCGCCTTGGGGGATGGCAAGGGCAGCCCATATCTGGAGACCATGATGCTCCGCGTGGAGGAAATGGAAGTAAGGTCTGGGGCTGCCAGCTCTGGTCGGCCACTGAGGGCTGGCCTCTGCTGAGAGAGAAAAATTCTCATGCCTGTGTAGCTTAGAACTTCACAGTCACACGCTCCTGGCTTTAAATCCCAGCTCAGCTGCTAACCAAGTGCATGACCTTGGTAAAGTCACCCACTCTAATAAGTAGTGTGTTGCTAAGGATAAAATCAGTATGCGATATCAGCACACAACTTGACTCATAAATCAGGAAGGGATCATTATTATTATCCCCTGATATCAGTGATATGTGATTCGAAAAACCTTGGGACCAGAGCCCAGTCCCACAATGTGCCTGTCGACTTCTTCCTCCCTTAGCTGGTAAGTGCTGCTCAGGCACCTCTTCTACCCTGACCGCATGTGCTCCTGACAGATCACAGGTCATTTTTCCCTCTGTAATTCCTATAATACTACTTTAGAATGTTTTTTTCTCATAGAATTTTAGATCTTAGGCATTACCCAGCCAACCCTTGGATTGTTCAGAGCAGGAAATTAAGACACAATAAGGGAGTAAGTGATGTGGCCAAGGTCACAAAAAATTCCTGTCAGAGCTAGGATGAGAATTCAGGTCTCTGGATCCCATTTCAGCACCTTCTTTTTAATTGTACAGGGACTAAATCTCATTTTGGCTTTGCTGCCAAATAGAAGCAGAGGGCAGACAGTTTTTTGGTGGTTTTTGAAAATTTAAAGTGTGTAATTTATATTAGTCTTATAACTGATTTCTCCTTCTTAGGGGTAACTGTCTGGACCTGAAGTGTCCAAAAGGTAGTTCTTGCCATATGTGACGATTTAAATTTAAATTAATTAAGATTAAGTACACTTCTCACATTTTAAGTAGTTAGTATTTAGTGGCTACTATGTTGGAAATGGCAAATATAAACATTTCCATCGTCCCAAGCCCTAGTGGGCAGTGCTGAGCTAGATCAGATTAACTACATTGATTGCTTCATTTTCTTTTAGACTTCACCTCATAAACTGATCACTTCCTGGCCTAGCAGATGCCAATTTCTGGCAGTATATCTGTTTCAGATGTGTTTGCTGAACTATTATATCCTTACTGGTTCCGGGTTTTAATGGAATTAATTAATTTCTTATAAATTAAACATTTTTTAATAGAAATACCAGGAGACAGTTCGCCAAAGATACAATAAAATTGCATATACCGATCCTCATCTTTGGATACAGGAAGGAAAAAATGGTGAGTGTTGCCCCCACTAACCTCCCCCTGCCTCAGTATTATTTTCTAAAAAATTTCAAATTTACAGGAAAATTTTAAAAATTCTACAGTGAACACCCAGATACCTCACCTCCTAGGTTCGACAATTAGTATGTTGCTGTGACAGTTGCAGTTGTCAGTACACCTCATTCTAAACATTTCAACAGCAACTAGAGGTTATACTTATGGCTCTTTTTCCTTTGGAGATAACATTTACATATTATATATAATAAATGCACAAACTTTAGATTTGATGGGTTTTAACAAATGGATACACCTTTTATTACCCAGACTCCTACCAAAATATGGACTGTATCACCTGAGAAAGTTCCCTTCTGCTCCTTCCTGGTCAGTTACCACCTAGGCAACCACCATGCTTGTTTTTCACTGTAGATTAGTTTTGTCTGTTCTAGAATTTCATATAAATGGAATTCTGCAGGCATGTGTTCTTTTGTCTAAGGTCTCTTCCATTCAACATGATGTTTTATAGATATGTTTATATTAACTTGTTTTCTGTTGCCACTAATATTCAAGTTTGTGACAAGTTAAAACACAAATTTATCCTCTTATAGTTCTAGAAGTCAGAAGTCAGAAATGAGTCTTAAAGGGCTAAAATCAAGATGTTGGCAAGGCTGGTTCCTTCTTCCAGCTTCTTAGGATGCCTGCATTCCTTAGCTTGTGGCCACATTACTCCAGACTCTGCTCCCATTATAACATTACCTTCTCCTCTTCTGTAGTCAAGTCTTCCCCTGCCTATTAAAGGACAGTTTGATTATATTGAGCACCCACTCCAATAATCCAGGATATTTCCCCATCTCAGGGTCCTTAACTTAAAGTCCCCCTCGCCATAGAGGGGAACAATCAATCACATGTCCCAGCATTACAGTATGGACATTGTGGGGGTCATCATTTAGCCTTCCACATTGTATCAGTATTCCTTCCTTTTATTGCTGAGTAGTATTCCACTCTATGCATATACCACATCTAGTTAATTCATTTGCCTGTGGATCTCCATTTGGTTGTTTCTAGTTTTGGGTTATTAGAAATAAGTCTGCTATGAATATATTCATGTGTAGTCTCTGTGTGGACTTAAGTTTTTATTTCTCTTGGATAAACATCTTAGAGTATACTTGCTATGTCGTGGATAGGTGTTTGTTTAACTTTATGAAAACTGCCAAAAACTTTCCCCAAAGTGGCTGTACCATTTTACACATGCATCTACATTGAGTTCCTGAGTTCCTGTTGCTCAGTATCTTTGACAGCATTTGATGTTGTCAGTCTTCTTAATTATAACCATTCTGGTGCAGTGTAGTGATACTCACTGTGGTTTTAATTTCATTTCCGTGATAAATAATAATGTTTAGAGTAGTTTCAAGTGATAATTTGCCATTTGTATATCATCCTTTGTGAGGTACCCAAATCTTTAGTACATTGTTTTTTAATCGGATTATCTTTCTATATTTGAGCTGTAGGAATTCTTTATGCATTCTGTGTATAAACTCATGTCAAATACAAGTGTGTGTGTGCTTAAATAATAGCTTTATTGAGATATGTCACATACCATAAAATATACCCTTTTAAAGTGTACAGTTGGGTAGTTTTTAATATATTTAATAGAGTTGTGAAACATTACTGCTGTCTAATTCCAGAACATTTCCATCACCTTATAAGGAACCCTGCATCCACCAGCAGTCATTGCGTATTCTCCCACTTCTCGCCCCAGCAGCCACTAATCTACTCAGGTAGATGTTTGCAGATACTTTCTCCCCATCTGTGCCTCACCTACCTGTTTTCCCAAGTGCGTCGTATTATGAACACTTAAAAGCCTGGTAGTTTAACTTAATCAGTTTTTTCCTGTATGTTTTTCCTTTCTTTGATCTAAGAAACCTTTGCCTACTCCCAAGTTGAGAAGAGAGTTCTTGTTTTCTTCTAGAAACTTTATGGTTTTAGCTTTTATGTATTGGTCTATGATCCCACTTGAATAAAAGTTTGCCTGTGGTTTGCCATAGAGGTTGAGGTTCTTTTTTCTCCCTAATGGTTACCCATTTGTTCTTGGGTTCACCTTTCTCCTCCACTTAAAAAAGTTCATGCACACACATTTTGGCTGTAGTTGCCGAGCTGCTTTCTCAGTTTTGTCTGGAAGAGTTACTCAGATTCTGTTTGACTCATGCTCATCAGTTATCCCCTTATTCAATGAAAGCAGGCGGACAAGATGTGTTAAACACCACCTCTAAGGGGATTTCGGGACTCTGAGTATTGAGAGATGTAAAGGAGATCTGGGTCTGGGAAGCTTGCGATAGAGCCTCCGTCACTTACAGTTTTTTTAAAGTATTAGTTTGGTGTATCATCTTAGAAGAAGTATTGTCTATGTCAAATTTTGACAGGAAGATGAGCCATCTAAAACAATACCAATGTTCTCCTTCTGTGTTTTCTTGAATTTTATAGGACTCTGTTCTGTGCTTGTGTTGCTCTCTCCCCTCCACCCCTACCGCAGCTCCCATTTCATCCTCACATGACGGTTGACCCACCCTTGGAGGTTGGCTCACATGACCCTTTTTGGGTATTCCTGTACTGGAATTTTGCCCCGTTCCTCCCATCCTCACTTCTGAACTTCCACAGACTTCTGGCATGTCCCCCTGTGGGCTGTAGCTGTTTCTGAAGGGCTGTCACTTCTCCCAGCTAAATCACAGATTCCTTGAGGCCAGAGAATTTGCTGTATTCAGTTGTGGCCCCTGCTGTGCCTAGTGTGGACCTGGCATAGGGAGGGCCCTTCTAGTCATTGCTTGGTGAGTCCACAGGCATTTTAGCATCTCTTTATATGGAAGCCAAGAAAAAGGAAATGTTGAAGGGCAATTTTTCACTAAAGGGCAGTTTGTTTCACTGAAAGGCAATTCGTTTCATTGATGGTTTGGCCATTGGCCACGAAGTTGGGTTGCCTCACTCAGAAGATGGCCTTACCAAGGACTCAGTGTTCTCTTTTCTCAAGGACAAATTAAATTATTAGTCACCAGCTATGACTCTGCATAGAATGTAAGTGTGCATCGAAAAGGAGCTCTTTTAGAACACTAACAGAAATCAGGTTTTGGATGCTTTAATTCCAGAATCGTGAAATCCTAGTGAGGATTCTGTTTCTAGTTGTGGTTGTATGTTCAGTTGCATCACAAAACCAAATTTTAAGTGATTTTTGAAATGTGCTGTGTCTCATCTATATGTCTCACCCTCTCATTCTGTGTACAACTGAAAATTATCATACTTAGTAATATTTTTACAAAAGCTGACTAATGCAGCATTTCTGTCCAGCAGTAAGAAATCACAAGCACATATATGTGAGTCAGGTAAGTTGTCTGACTTATAGGTGCTTCTTACCTAACAGCAGGATAAATTGTCTTCCTTTACTTGAAATACATTTAAATTACAAATAATTCAGAATTCAAAGAGCTGTCAAGCCTGCAAGGTATAGTTAATAAGTTAATGTTTTGACTATCATCATGCAGATTTTTCCAGCAATGCCCAGAGACATATTAAATCAGCTAATTGAGTGTTCTGATGTGACAGTTTTTTTCCTTCTGCAGTAATCAAACCATTTAAAGGTTAAAAAACCCAGCTGCTTCAGACTCCTTGACTGGGCAGCTGGACCTGATGGGAAGCCATGTAGCCCGGGGCTCTGTGCAGACCTCTTCAGGGAGGCTTCCAGGGCCGCAGAGGCTTTGAAAGGAGTTCATTCTTTCTTAAGACTGATTCCTCTTCGGTTTGTTTCTTTGTAACTTTGAAATTCACCGTTTCATTTATGATGAGCATTTTTTTCCCCATTGCTCTGCTAGCTAGATATGTTTATGTGTACGAGCTGTACGTGTGGTGTTCTCAGTAAGGACAGCTCTGACATCTACATGCCTTTGCTCTGTATGCAGTCATGTTATGCCTCTCCTTTTCTAGACCACAAAGTCCCAGCAGTAAGTGAAAGGCCTCTTTCTCCTCATCCCATCAGGATCACGACCACAGCAGCTCGCAAGGACCCAGAAGTGAACATTGTGTTAGAAAGGCCCCGGAATGGCAAGTAAGTGGTCCCTTGGCCGTTGGATTTCACAGAGGCTGGCTGCCTTCAATGTTAACTTTCCGAAGCTTTCAGTTGCCACCAGACAGAATGAAATTCTGTTGAGCAGGATCTTGTCAAACTCCAACATGGCTCAGTAAAAATAGGGAGTTTGTAAGACAGGCATTGAATGTCTTAGGGCATCTTAAGGCACCTTCAATAGCATTTAGCTGGTGGTCACCACTGAAAGCACCCCACTGACACATGTGGTTTGTGTGCTGATAGTTTCCTGCAAGATGTGCTTTATGAATTCTTGTCTGCAAGTCATGAATTCCTACGATGGGGTTAGTCCAGGGAAAAGGGGAGACAGTGAGTGGTGAGAAGATGTTGAGTTTTGGTCACCGAGAGAAAGAGAAAGGAAGGTAAGCCTTTGGCTCCCAAACCATGATTTTGAATGCTTTCATCATTTTTATTTGCTCTCAGTTCCCTGAATGAAAGTGTGGAAACAGAGGAGAGATCGGAGAAAAGAGAGGCTCCCCTTCTCTCCCTTTCAGAAGATTCTCCACGGAAAGCGGGCCAAGCTGCCCTGTCTGTCCCTCCAGGCATGCTGCGCAGCATCGGCAACTACTGCAGGCGCTTCGAGCAGCACCTGCGGTTGATGTCGCATGAGGTCGTGGGCTCTTTTAGCCCGTGGCTTATGGCTGAAAGGTCAGTGCAAGCTTATGTGTGCCTCTGTTTAGGAACCAGGTGCCAAATGTTCCCTGACAGGAAGGCTGGAGAAAGGACTGGCCACTGCCTCATGCTGTGCTTTGGGCCCCAGAGTTCCAGTGGTTGCTGTTGGGCTGGTAAATAGGCTTTGTCTGCAACTGCCTTTTCTCGGAAAGGAGACTGCAGAATAGCATGGGTGATGCCCTCCGGAGGAGCATGCTGCCCCTTCCTAGGGGACAGTGTGCAAGTCAGGGCAGGTTTATTGTTGCTGTTGGCGAGGGTCTGTTAGAGGACGCACAGTACGGCCTGTGGGAAACTGTGGGGACTGTGAGACCTTCATGGGTAGGACGAGCTGCACGTAGAGCAGCAGTAGGCCTTCAGACTCCACAGCATCGTCTCGAACACTGCTCCTCTGGAGTCACTTCCTTTGAGAAAAGTACTCTGTGGGGGCATAAAACCAAGGCCAGTGCGACTAAGTATTTCTTCTATGTAAATAGTTAATTGAAAGATACAGGTAAGTCCATTTTTAAAAAATGGGGCCCAAATTTAAATTCCTTTTGGGTATCATTTTATTACAAACATGCAGATAAGTTTCATCATTGAGGCATGTAGTTTATAATGATTATATTTCTTTCTTGAACAAGTTTTAGACATATTCCAGGAGTTGATAATTACCTCTTTTTTATTTGCTGATTCTTTTATGTATTTATTAACTTTTCCCACATACTAGCAAGTGCCTCTCAATATAATTTTCCTCCTCACCAGGGGTATCAGTTAATCACTGTTTCTTGCCTCCACCCCATTCTTGCTGCTGAGATCCTCTTTTCTCCTACCCAGCGGGCCCAGCAGTATGACTCTTGCCCTGGGACCTCTCTATCTCACCCCCTTAAGTGTTAGAGGGCTCAGTCCTGGGTTAGAATCCTTTTCTTCTAGTGCCCTTATCTTCCTCTTTCTTGGTATGCACTTATTTTGATGGAACATATCCTGCTCTGTGTCCTGGAGGACATTTCTTGCGACTTATATGTTTGAATATGTCTTTATTCTCTCTACATACTTGATTGATGATTTTGCTGAGTTTAAAATTACTGGTTTATTTTTCCCAAAGAACATACCTTCCTCCTTTTGTGGGGGTGAAGGAGGACTTGTCACTTAGCTGTCAGAGCAGAAGTGCAGATCTGCCAACCTAATAGCTCATTTGCACGTTTCAGCCTGTGTCCTCAGTTTCTCCTCTGTACCTCACTCTGCCCTCCTGATTCTCAGTACTGTTAACTGCCTGAGTCTGTCTGACATTTTGTGAGACAGATGGGCTTGCTTTTCCTTGACTGCTCCCTCGACAGACCCTGAGGCTTTGGTTGGCTCAGTGCCAGTTCTTCTTTGTGCTTCTACCTCCTGGACATCTTGGACACTTCTTACCTACTTGTTGTCTGTTGTTTTCTCCTTAGAGATTTGTCTGTCTATTTCCTTTCCTTTTGGTGAGCTTTTGGGTAGGATTAGAGATAATCACCGTGTTCCCTCAGGTTTAACCTGAAGTCCTAAGATTTCTCTTTAATATGAAGTATCTTCAAAGTGCATGAGACCCTTTGTCCTGGTTGCGATGCACATTTGTTTTCTTGGGGAGGAGAAGAGGTGAACCTGCCTCGTTGCCTGTGTTAACACACCGTCCTGAAGCATGCTCGCTTGTTTTCCCAGAGCCTGTCTGGCTTGGTTAGGCTAACGGGCATATGGGGAAATCCAAAAACAAGCCAAGGAAGATAAACTATTCCTTGTATGTTCTTACCACTTGATTAGTGATATGTTTTGTTCTAGTTGTTTTGTAGATATAGGGGAAAGCTCTCAGTGTGTAAGGAATAGCGGGCCAAAATGTAGAGAGGACAGAGCTATTCAAATATGCCTGGATTTTTACAGATGGCTTCCTCTGCTGTCCTTGATCCTTGAGTGACAGTGCATCTAGATATCCTGGTTTCAATCTCTCTTGTTTTTGTTTCTGATTTGAGTGTTCTTCAGGTGAGAGTTACATTGGTCAGCTCTTGAAAAAGATTTAAAGACAGTTGACTTCATCTGCTAGCCCCTTGGGTGAGAGGGAAGTAAGCTGAGTTTTTCTTCTTCTTTTAATGTCTCCATTTCTCCTTCCATCTGAAGAAAAGCACTGTCCCAGTGATCTAAAGGAGCAGATGATATAAACTGGGTGTGAAGGGAAGGCTTAAGGTGGTGATGCTTTCAGTGAAAGCAAACTTGTTCAGAAGTCCTGGCTTGAAAGACATCAGGAAACTTTTGGTGGGAAAGGACAGATTGAAATATGTATTTGTCTCTGCATCCCGTATCCCTGTCCCACTATATGGTCACTATAAAAGACTAAATAAAAGACATGAAACCATAAATGACAGCAAACAAGAAAAAGCAGTAAAATTTTGGAAACCATAAAGCAATTAGGCAAATGGCAAATGACTTAGCAGACCAGACAGAGCCAAGTGCCTGATGAGGTTAGAGCCAAGAACCAAGTTGATTTGTGCAGAAGGACCTTAATAAAGAGTCAGGAATGGGAAGCACCAGATGCTTCTGTAGGCATAGGTACTGGTGAGTCAGCAAATAGGAGGCTTGGGTGAAATTCTCATTCTTGAATATAGCAGAAAGCTAAGGTAACCAGACATCTGATGAAAACCATGAAAGATAAATAGGCTATTATAACAGATAAAAGGAATTTCAAAGAAGCAGAATGCAGGAAGCAGAATAAAACATTAAAAACAAATGAATTAATGTTCTCAGAGAACCAACGGAAGCTATTTCACCATGAAACAAGAACAGAATCTATAAAAAAGAAACTTTCAGAGAAATTTTTTTAAGTGCCAAGAAATTAAAAGTATGGCTGAAACAAACTCACTAGAAAGATTCAAAGAAAAAAGTCACATCTCTCAGGCAGTAGAACAAAAAAAACAAGCAGATAGAAAATATAGAAGAAAAGATTTTAAAACTAAGGGGGTATTCTAGGAGATGTAGTGTCTTAGCTCAGGCTGCCATAATAGCATAGGCTGGTTGGCTTAGACAATAGCAGTTTATTTCTCACAGTCCTGGAGGCTGGAAAGCCCAAGAACAAGGTGCTGTCAGGTGGGTGTCTGACGAGGGCCTGCCGCCTCATTGGCAGACAGCCGTCTTCTCGTTGTGTCTTCCACTGGCCAGGTGAGAGATCATCTCTCTCTTTGTTTCTTGTTAGGGCACTAATACCACTCTTGAGGGCTCTACCCTCATGACCTAATTACAAAGGCCCCACCTCCTAATACCATCACAGTGGGGATCAAGCCTCCACATAGGAATTTTGGGAGACACAGATTTTTCAGTTCATAGCATCCAATATCTTAATAATAGGGGCTCCAGAATGTGAGAACAATGGAAAAAGGAGGAATGGGAAATTACAAAGGAAATGCTGAAGAAAAACTCCCCTAAGGCTGTTTGTCTCTAGATTGAAAGGGTTCATCAGTTGTCCACTGTAAGTGAGTGAATAAATGAATAAATAAATAGACTGAACACATCATGGCACATAATTATGGAAAGGAATTATGAGCATCCCAGTATAAGGAGAGAATGACAGAAGGCTCCAGAGAGTTGAAAATGGGCACATTCAAATAACCAGAAATCAGAATGGCATATTGTTTTCAATAGCAATACTGCTATATTGTAACATAATTCCAAAATTTAACCTAGAATTCTGTGCTCAGTTAAATTATTAAATATAAGGTAGAATAAAGACATTTTTAGGTATGCAAAGTATCCAAAAATTTTGTTCCCATTCACTGTTTCTCAGTAAGTTTCTGGAGAGCCTATGCCACCAATACAAGGTGGACATTGAGAAAGAGGAAGACCAGATTTAAGAAACTTAGACTCCAGTGTGGAACTTCCAGAAAAGAGAAGAGTTCTCCAGCGAGAATAAAAAGCAACTGGTCCAGATTGGAGTAGGAGGACAGCAGACTTCAGGCGGAATAGTTTCTAGGGGGAAAGTCAGAGTGGGAAAGGTTAAAAAAAGAAGATAATGGATACATTACCTAATGTGTTTGAATGTATTGGGAATACCTCTATATTTCTCTCATAGTTTGGGAGTGAATTCAGGATAGAAATATAGAGAGCAAAGGAAATATAAAAACAAGGTAATCACTTCTGTTTCTGGTACTGGCACAACTTGATAATTGGAACCACCTCTCCCACTGAGGATAACTGTTAATAGAAAAGCCAGATCGAAAATGAAACATACATGCTGGAAGGCATCAGGAAGTTAACTGGGTAATGAAGATAATTGATTCAGGGTCCTGGAGAAGACAGGGACCCAGAGAGGTTAGGTAGCCCATTGTCTGGCACTGGATCATCACTTCTGGAGAGAGCTGAGTGGCCCTTTTGAGGGCCCTTCCAGATCAGCGGACACAGGTGGGAATCCAGGGCTGGTCGTGGTGGGGGAGTTGCCCTGGTGAACTTTCCTCACTTCTGATCTGGATCCTGAAGGGTGGCTTTCTCAAACTAAGGGTGGCCTGCATGCCACTAGGCCCTCTCAGGGGCTCCACTCAGCTCCAAACTGTCCCACTTCTGGAGATTGAACTGAGATTGATTTTAGATTATTTTCCCCTAGACACCAGGCAGAAGCAAACTATTTTCTCTGAAGAAAAATTTTCTCTGAAGACATATAACATCATCTTAATTTTTCTACAATTTTCAAATATAATGTCTGGTAGATAGGAATAACCAGGTAACAGAGAGACATAGAAATAACAAGAACAGACCCACAGCAGGTCCAAATATTAGTGCTGTCAGACACAGACATTAGAATAACTGTACCTACTATGTTCATAGAGATAAAAGATACAATTTCGAATTTTAGTAGAGAACTGGGAACTAAATCTAAATGGAACTGAAAAAAGTAGTTTCTGAAATGAGGGATTCACTGGATGGGCTTAATAGACACATCAAAACTAAAGATGAGAGACTTGGCGTGTAAGAAGAAAATATCCAGAGAGATGCATGGTGACACAAAAAAAGCTGAAAATAAAGAAGAGAAGATAAAGGGACACAGGGTATAAAGGGACGAGATCTGATAAATATGTAGCAGGAGTCTCAGAAGGAGGGGAGAAAGAATGGGTCAGAAACAACATCCAAAGAGATAATGGTTGATAACTTCCCCCAAATAACAAAAGATATTAAGCCATAGATTCAAAAAGTTTTAAAAAGCTTCAAGCAAGAAAAATAAAAAATCCATATAGAGGCATGTCATAGTATTATGAAAAATGAAAAAGGAAATCTTAAAATCAGCTGGAGGAAGGCAAAAGGAGAAACAGAAATGGTAGGAGCTGGGAGACCTGGCATATCTTCTCAGGTTCTGAAAGAAAAGAATTACCACTCTGGAGTTCTCAGCCCAGTGAAATACATTTCAAGAAGGATAAGGGAGGTTCCAAACAAAGCTGAGAAAGTATATATACATATATTAGACCTTTGCTATAGGAAATACTAAAAGGGTATTTTTCAGGTAGAGCAAAAACAGTCACAGATGAAAAGTCAAAAATATAGGAAGGCATGAATTTTTGAAAAGTCAGTAGGTAGGTAAATGAATACTGACTGTATAATAATAACTCATGTCTAAGGGTGTGAGTATACATTTAAAACAACTGATGATATATAAGTCAGGAAAAGGATAAGTAGGGTTAATGTTAGTCTTAAGTTTCTTAAATTGTAAAAGTGGTAACACTGTCAATTAACATTAGACTTTAAGTCAAAGATGTTTATTATAATCTGGGGTGGCCACTAAATAGTAAAAAGTTATGTAACATCCTAATTAATAATGAGGAAAGAATGTAATAAAATCACAGAATCCAAAAGAAGGCAAAAAAGTAGAGAGAACGAATAGACAAGTAGAAAATACTTAGCGGAAGAATTTATAGTGGAAGTCAAAAGTATCAGAATTATATTAAATGAAAACTGTACAGTCCAATTAAAAGACAAGGTTGTAAGATTAGCAGCAAGACAAAACTGCTGGGATGGGAATAGGGCGGAGGGGACCGGAGAGGGGGAGTGATGCTTACCTGCGTTTGCCTTTTTTGTATAATTCTGACTTTGGGAACCAAGGCTAGACTGAATCCTCTTGTTGAATTAGGATTGGAGGTATTAGGAATTTACGGTTTTTGAGAGATAGAAAGATTGAGAGTGTGTGTTTCTGTTTGTCTCCCTGAGTCTTTCTGCTGAGAGGACCGGGAAACAGTGGTAACTATAACAATAGCAGTGAACACACTTGGAGCCCAGATCTTGGTTTCTAAATACTTTTCTCCAGGAACAGGTACCAGGCTCCTTGGAGAAATGGCCAGTTCCAAAATTGGAGCTGTGAAAATGTAAGAGGAGCCTGAATCATCATTTTGTTCCAGAAAGAAAAGGTTCAGAGACTAATAGGGCCATGTCAGGAGGACTGTGGAGCCAGCTTGAAGGGGCTCCTGCTGGCCACTTGGGGACATTTTGAGTACCAGAATAAGTAATAATAGTTAGTGAGTATAGACTGCTGAATAAAACAGGAACCTGTAAGGCCTAGCTAATACAAATGAATGAGTGAATGAATACATACATGAATAAATAAAGGAGAAGGGAGGGCTCTTCATTAAGTAGGATGCCAACTATTCAACGCAAAGGGAGTGGCGGAATGAGCAAATCTGCCCTGGCATTCCTGTAATAGTAGCTACTGGCCAGTTTGATGAGAAACTGGATATTTGCATAGTCTTAAGTCTCTCCCTACAATATACTTACTCATTACAAAGGGAAAATAGTAACTTTGCAAGGAGAAACCTGCAGACATCACCATAGGCAAGTGATAAAAATTAACAGTCATCACTAGTAACAAGTAGATGCACCGAAGGGACACAATTTCCCTTCTGTAACGTTTGTTCCAAAAATGTACAACCTGAATGAATCTGACTGTGAGGAAACACCAGACAAACCCAAGTGGAGAGACATTCTACAAAGAAAAGGCCTTTACTCTTCAAAAAAATGTTAAGGTTATGAAAGACAAGGCTGAAAAACAATTCCATATAAATAAAGAGACATGACAAATGCTACGTGAGTCCTGGGCTAGAAAAAGTTTTCTTTTAGAGGACATTATTTGGGCAGTTGGCCAAAATTTGAAAAAGGTCTGTAGGTAAGATTAGATCACAACATTGTATCGGTTTTAATGTTGTGATTTTCATAATTGTCTCATGGCTATTTAAGAGCATATCCTCACTGTTAGGAAATGTACACTGAAGTACTTTGGGGATAGTGAGTCTGCAGCTCACTCTCAGAGAGAGAGAGAGAGAGAGAAAACACAAATTTGGAGTATCCTGCCCCCCCACTCTGTCCCTCAGAGCAGGCACACCCTTTCCTGTCAGGCATGTAGGCCCCTGTGCAGCTGGTTGGGGCAGGGTTGTCGCTAGTTAGTTTCCAGTCGATTATGGTCTCAACCAACCCGAGGTGAGTTAGGTCGTCCTGTGTATTACATACAGTCCCTCCCTCCAGCCTGACTTTGGGATCCAAATGCCACCATCTTAATGTCAAGGGAAGCAGGGTTTCTCATCTTATTTTCCTTCAAAAGTCTCTTGGCTCTGCCTGGCCATTTGAATTTCCATTGAAATTTCAGAATTGCCTTGGTAAGTTCCCCAGCTAAGTGAAAGAATGGCTCCCATATTTGGCTGTCCGTACCTTCAGCTGTGTCGTCTGTCTTCCAGCTTTTCAGAAGAGCTGGTAGATGAAGCTCTGGGGGCCGTGGCTGCTGAACTTCAGGATATGTGTGAAGATTACGCAGAAGCTGTGTTCACCTCAGAATTCCTAGAGGCGGCTGCCTAAAGACTGCAGGGCACTGGAGAAGGGACAGCGCCACCCTCTGTTTTAGGCCACAGGAAGTCCTCGTCCTCGGCTGCCCATCCAGGCCCTGAAGGTGCTGCCCAGTGAAGGAAGGAAATGCCAGCGAGGGCACCCTCACTTTGCATCTTCTCGTCATAGTAATGGTTCTGGCCGTTTATGATGGAATGTGTTATGTGTCAGTGCCTAGGAAATGTGGATTGATTATGACAATATAATATTTTCTGAATTATAATTTTCCTCTTGAAATATTATGTTCATTCCACTGACTCAGCTTGGTGACCAGAATGTTTTGAAAGGTAGTATGTTTCACCCAGGGATTCAGGTTGCTATTTAGCCTATGGGTGGCATTGATGCCAGCAGAAGCACGGCTGCTCTCTAGTCCCGTCGCCAGCTTGTGTTTCCATCTTTGGCAGCTTCCTGTCAGGACACCTGTCCCTGCTGGGTTACAGACTTGCATGAGGCACAGAGTTTAGTTATGCAGCCAAACCTCTGATCTGTTGTAGCTTATTAAACATCGGAACCCATCAGTTACCAGGGCACACCTAACACATTACTGGAATTTTCAACTCCCAGGTACTTTCTTACATTTTTTGTTCTTCAAAGTCTTTCATTGCTGTGGGTTGATGTATTCTGATATACTAACCTTTGTCTGAACTCAGGGAGCTTTGGGGACCTCAGGAGAGGCCTCCTGTGCTTGGAGAAAGGAGCAAAACCCACTTCCACCTTTGGGGAGGGCAACAATTTCATTTCTGGATGGTGTGAAGACCTCTGGGTCTCCCCTGAGAAGGGAAGGAACTGTAGAACCACATAGCTTGGTCCTCGGTTGTCTTAAAAGTCATATTTTACCAAAAGAAAAGCCTTTTTTTTTTCCTTCAGAAATTCTGAATTCAGAAAAGGAAAGGGGAATGTACATAAAAAATAAGGCTACTGCCTGGAAAAAGCTTCCCTCAGTTCTTTGCCTGAGGCTTGGTGAGACAAATGTGAAGAACGCGTGATGGGGGACATACCCAATGGAATAATGTGAATCTTTTTATAATGTTCACATTGTCATCTGGGATTTTTCTCAGAAATACAAGTATTTTAGGTGATAATTTAAGATGCTCGATCACACTTTTTTGTGCAAAATTGATTTTTGTTCGATGTTAATGGTTTCCTGCTTAATTTTATATGACCTCAGAATAAAAGGCTTCAAGGGAAAGCAAAAGTCTTTAACTGAAGGAGTTACATATATACAGTTGATAGGAATGTCTGTTAGGGATGGCTTAAGGTAATTTGTGTGGCAGTTTTTACTGTGGTGATTTTTTAAAATAAACTCAGTATTTTAAAGTATGTACATACAGGTCTATTTGAAATAATTTACATCTTTTTTTCCCATAGGCAAAGTAAAATGTGATTTTACAGAAACCACAGAGAATACTTGCATATTTGATATGAGCATAGTGGGTTATTTACTGAGCACCTACTGTGTACCAGGCATTGCTCTAAGTGCTTTCCTCTATTCATTTACTTAATCTTCATCTGTGTGAGATGAATACCATCATTGTTCCCATTTTATAGATAAATAGAATGAGGCACAGAAAGGGGAGATGATTTTGATCAAACAAACATATACTGAACAATACCATCATCATGGTTTCACTTATTCCCATAAAGATAATTTTAGCAGTTTTGAGAATTCACTCAAGTGCATTCTTCTGCCTGTTGTCCCCACACAGCATGTCCTAGACACTGTTGCCTGGAGGAGTCCCTCTCCTGGGCATGTCCTGTCTGCTGAAGGGTCAAGTCCAGACCCCTTTGTTTCAGGATCTTTCCAGTCTCTCTCCACTGCTCTCTCCAGTGGTCTTGTCTCCCTGTCTCTTGACTCACGTGGGTGGGGCTTACACCTACCTGTGTGTCCAGTGTCTATAGTCCTGGCCCACAGTGAACCTCCATGGCCAAAGCATTCTCCAAAGTCAAAACTAAACTGCGAGAAATAAAAACTTTCACTTGAAAATGGAGGTTGAATCCTTAAAATATAAATGTTCACATGGATAGCCTTGCAACTATCTCAGACCTCTAGAAGTTTGGTTCTTCATGAATGAAGGTCGACCCCCTTAGTCATTCTCAAGTCCCCTTTAGTTTTTTCATAACCTAGTCGTGTATTTTCAGGAACAGAAAAACACATGAGTTTAGTATTTCTGTGTTACATAGGCTGTCCCAATTTACAGAGATGCTGAAATTCATGAGTAGGTTTTCAGCACCTCCCACTTCAATCTGTCCAGCTCCACAGGGTTTTCACCTGTTTGCATGCTTGCCTCTAGTCTATTAGCTCTATGAGGCAAGGCCTCTGTCTAGCATGTAGTTGGTGCTCAGTAAATTCTTTCCTGAATTAATGAAAGAATGAAGGCATACTTTTTCTTGGGATCAGTTTTAGGATTGGTGTCTATCAGCCTCTCTAGTCCATAAAAATCTGTGTTAACCTTTTGTGACCTGACATAGGATGCCACCTGTGGCAAACTGCAAATCCTGTCATTCTGAGGCACTGATGCATTCGGAATTCCAACTCAGAACAGCAGGACCCTGCCTCCTTCCTGCTAAACAAGGGATGCGCCCTGCAGCCTTGTGCTAACTGGCTAACTGTGGCTGTAGAGTGCCTTGGTCAGGGAATGAAGTGCAGAGTGGCTGCAGGGGCTGGCAGAACTTGGGCTGGCGTCGGACATGGGGACAGAGAGAAATGAATGGGGGACCACAAAACTGACTGTCTCAGGGCTGTGGTCCCTTCTCCTTTGGGGGTCAGAGGAGAGATGGGACGAGTGTCTTCTTTCTCTCCACCTCCTTTCCTTGGCTTACAGTTCTTGCTTCCCAGAAGGTGAGGTGGGTGTGGGAGGGAATGGGCAGTTGAAGGAGGCGGGAACTGTGCTGTGCCTGGTGGGTCCTGAAGGCAGGAATAGGGGTCAGAGTGAAGCCCTGGAACCCCACCCAACTGGAAGGAAGGGGCTCTATGCCCAGATCAGAAAGTTTCTGGTTTTCTCTGTGGCGTGATGTAGGTTCCTTGTATGAGGAGCTCTTTGTTTAGCAACTTGTGAGAGTGAGGAGAGTTCTCTGCAGAACAGGTAAGTAGGAGGGCCCTTTGGAAGGGCCTGCGTGGAGGGGTCATGTGGGCTCCTCAAAAGCAGCAGAAAGGCGGCAGCATATCTGTTATCTTCCAAAATACTGGCATTTTCCAGATCAGCTTTCTGGTTCTAGGGCAGAGAGAGAACTGTTTCGACACGGCGTGTTTGTGGGTTGGTTGAGCCCAGCAACATGGGCTAGGGTGGAAGGGCTTCCTCCAGACATCTGGAGTGCTCCCTGTGAGTCCTCAGGAAGAGCTCCAGGAATCCCAGGTTGGGCCAGCTGTCCAGAAGTTATGCAGCCAAACCTCTGATCTGTTGTAGCTTATTAAACATCGGAACCCATCAGTTACCAGGGCACACCTAACACATTACTGGAATTTTCAACTCCCAGGTACTTTCTTACATTTTTTGTTCTTCAAAGTCTTTCATTGCTGTGGGTTGATGTATTCTGATATACTAACCTTTGTCTGAACTCAGGGAGCTTTGGGGACCTCAGGAGAGGCCTCCTGTGCTTGGAGAAAGGAGCAAAACCCACTTCCACCTTTGGGGAGGGCAACAATTTCATTTCTGGATGGTGTGAAGACCTCTGGGTCTCCCCTGAGAAGGGAAGGAACTGTAGAACCACATAGCTTGGTCCTCGGTTGTCTTAAAAGTCATATTTTACCAAAAGAAAAGCCTTTTTTTTTTCCTTCAGAAATTCTGAATTCAGAAAAGGAAAGGGGAATGTACATAAAAAATAAGGCTACTGCCTGGAAAAAGCTTCCCTCAGTTCTTTGCCTGAGGCTTGGTGAGACAAATGTGAAGAACGCGTGATGGGGGACATACCCAATGGAATAATGTGAATCTTTTTATAATGTTCACATTGTCATCTGGGATTTTTCTCAGAAATACAAGTATTTTAGGTGATAATTTAAGATGCTCGATCACACTTTTTTGTGCAAAATTGATTTTTGTTCGATGTTAATGGTTTCCTGCTTAATTTTATATGACCTCAGAATAAAAGGCTTCAAGGGAAAGCAAAAGTCTTTAACTGAAGGAGTTACATATATACAGTTGATAGGAATGTCTGTTAGGGATGGCTTAAGGTAATTTGTGTGGCAGTTTTTACTGTGGTGATTTTTTAAAATAAACTCAGTATTTTAAAGTATGTACATACAGGTCTATTTGAAATAATTTACATCTTTTTTTCCCATAGGCAAAGTAAAATGTGATTTTACAGAAACCACAGAGAATACTTGCATATTTGATATGAGCATAGTGGGTTATTTACTGAGCACCTACTGTGTACCAGGCATTGCTCTAAGTGCTTTCCTCTATTCATTTACTTAATCTTCATCTGTGTGAGATGAATACCATCATTGTTCCCATTTTATAGATAAATAGAATGAGGCACAGAAAGGGGAGATGATTTTGATCAAACAAACATATACTGAACAATACCATCATCATGGTTTCACTTATTCCCATAAAGATAATTTTAGCAGTTTTGAGAATTCACTCAAGTGCATTCTTCTGCCTGTTGTCCCCACACAGCATGTCCTAGACACTGTTGCCTGGAGGAGTCCCTCTCCTGGGCATGTCCTGTCCGCTGAAGGGTCAAGTCCAGACCCCTTTGTTTCAGGATCTTTCCAGTCTCTCTCCACTGCTCTCTCCAGTGGTCTTGTCTCCCTGTCTCTTGACTCACGTGGGTGGGGCTTACACCTACCTACCTGTGTGTCCAGTGTCTATAGTCCTGGCCCACAGTGAACCTCCATGGCCAAAGCATTCTCCAAAGTCAAAACTAAACTGCGAGAAATAAAAACTTTCACTTGAAAATGGAGGTTGAATCCTTAAAATATAAATGTTCACATGGATAGCCTTGCAACTATCTCAGACCTCTAGAAGTTTGGTTCTTCATGAATGAAGGTCGACCCCCTTAGTCATTCTCAAGTCCCCTTTAGTTTTTTCATAACCTAGTCGTGTATTTTCAGGAACAGAAAAACACATGAGTTTAGTATTTCTGTGTTACATAGGCTGTCCCAATTTACAGAGATGCTGAAATTCATGAGTAGGTTTTCAGCACCTCCCACTTCAATCTGTCCAGCTCCACAGGGTTTTCACCTGTTTGCATGCTTGCCTCTAGTCTATTAGCTCTATGAGGCAAGGCCTCTGTCTAGCATGTAGTTGGTGCTCAGTAAATTCTTTCCTGAATTAATGAAAGAATGAAGGCATACTTTTTCTTGGGATCAGTTTTAGGATTGGTGTCTATCAGCCTCTCTAGTCCATAAAAATCTGTGTTAACCTTTTGTGACCTGACATAGGATGCCACCTGTGGCAAACTGCAAATCCTGTCATTCTGAGGCACTGATGCATTCGGAATTCCAACTCAGAACAGCAGGACCCTGCCTCCTTCCTGCTAAACAAGGGATGCGCCCTGCAGCCTTGTGCTAACTGGCTAACTGTGGCTGTAGAGTGCCTTGGTCAGGGAATGAAGTGCAGAGTGGCTGCAGGGGCTGGCAGAACTTGGGCTGGCGTCGGACATGGGGACAGAGAGAAATGAATGGGGGACCACAAAACTGACTGTCTCAGGGCTGTGGTCCCTTCTCCTTTGGGGGTCAGAGGAGAGATGGGACGAGTGTCTTCTTTCTCTCCACCTCCTTTCCTTGGCTTACAGTTCTTGCTTCCCAGAAGGTGAGGTGGGTGTGGGAGGGAATGGGCAGTTGAAGGAGGCGGGAACTGTGCTGTGCCTGGTGGGTCCTGAAGGCAGGAATAGGGGTCAGAGTGAAGCCCTGGAACCCCACCCAACTGGAAGGAAGGGGCTCTATGCCCAGATCAGAAAGTTTCTGGTTTTCTCTGTGGCGTGATGTAGGTTCCTTGTATGAGGAGCTCTTTGTTTAGCAACTTGTGAGAGTGAGGAGAGTTCTCTGCAGAACAGGTAAGTAGGAGGGCCCTTTGGAAGGGCCTGCGTGGAGGGGTCATGTGGGCTCCTCAAAAGCAGCAGAAAGGCGGCAGCATATCTGTTATCTTCCAAAATACTGGCATTTTCCAGATCAGCTTTCTGGTTCTAGGGCAGAGAGAGAACTGTTTCGACACGGCGTGTTTGTGGGTTGGTTGAGCCCAGCAACATGGGCTAGGGTGGAAGGGCTTCCTCCAGACATCTGGAGTGCTCCCTGTGAGTCCTCAGGAAGAGCTCCAGGAATCCCAGGTTGGGCCAGCTGTCCAGCCCACGTGAGCTCGGGCAACGTGTGTCAGTCTGGGTCGC